ATCTTAACTGATGACATCTGCAAAGACCCAAATAAGGTCACATAAGGAGATTTGGGGTGGACATCAGCTTTTGGGGGACACTACACAACTTAGTACCTTGGCCACATAAAATTGTTACAAAAATTAAATGAGAGAGTTCATATAAAGGGCATGGTAAACACTCAAAAATAATCTCATTGTTGTCATCATTAAAACTATTTGTGAATATATATCAGCAAAGAGAGAATAATTCACAAGCAATTCTTTTACTGATGAAAACAGGAGTTATTTTAGGTTAGGTGTATTTATTTTGAAAGTATCAAGACATAAGGAGTAACTTCAGCCATTTCTCACAAGAAAAGCAATCTAGTATTTAAATTCACATCAATGTAGTAAAGATACATAATAAATTTAAAATGAAGAAATATGTTAGGGTTCTAGTTCCAGGTAAAATGGAGTAAGTATACTCCACGCTGACTCTCTCACTGAATACAGCTATAAAACATGAAATAATGTATGGGGAAGTTATTTCAGGACTCTGAAAAGTAAACAGAAGCAGATAGGTTGGGAAAGAAGACCAGAACTCAAGCAGCACTGGGCTCTCTCAGTATCCCCCCAACAACCAGAAAGTGGGTACCAGGGTACAAAAAGAGAATTTCAGAAGACCTCTAGTTCTGGCTTATGAGGGTAACTCATAATAGTCAGAGGGTGTGAAAATCCTCTACTTTTTTTCTCTCTCTATTGTCTTATACCCTAGTTCCCAAGCAATTTCATCGTAGGGGTTTTCACATCCTTAGGTACCAGGGACCAGCAGAATCCAAAGCTATGCAAATAAAGAACCTTGCTCTCTTTTCACTAGAGCTGTGGTTCCAGAAAGTGGGCCCAACCTCTGCTGCTTTTATTCCCTCTCTCTATTCTCTTGTCTCATGGCCCTGGTTACACGGCTCACTTGTGGAAGCACACAAGACAGCAGAGTAACCAAAGCTTAAGCTTTCTAGGTGGAGGACCAAAAAGAGAACATTAAGGAACTAGGAAGTAACAAGGAGATGTAGTGGGGGAAGAATTGGGAAAGTGACCACATAAGGTTGTTTGTGAATTATCCTGGACTCACCTCTGAACTGTGTATGCCCGGATCTGATCCTATTCAGTATATCGAACACTTTGAGGAATGAACTACAGATAGAGCACCACCTCTGTCTCAGGCTTGCCACCAGTTAGTTTGTGAGAAAGATAAATGCAAAGATCACTGCAAAATTTGAGAACTGAACAGATAGTGTTCATGAATCCAAAGAATCAATGTAGGAAAAATCACAAGTTAATCTACAGATTGAAGTCAATTCCAATAAAAATGACAGCAGGATTTTTGAACACAGACAAGTTGATTCTAAAATTTGTATATAAAGGAAGAAGAATAGCTCAGACACTTTTAGAAAAGAGGAATAAGGTTGGAGGAATTGTACTATACAATTTTTAGCCTTTTTATAAAGCTACAGTGATTAAGACGATGTGGTATCAGTGAAGGAAGAGATACACAGATGAAACAAAATAGAAAATCCAAAAATAGATTCACCCAAATATGGCCTTTGATTTTTAACAATGGTACAAAAGAAATTCAGTGGCAAAAGCATAGTCTTTTCAACTAATGGAATTGGAACAATAGGATTTGCTTATGTAAAACAAAGCAAAACACCTCTATCTAAATCTGCTATATTGTACAAAAATTTACTCAAAATGGATTATAGATTCAAATGAAAAACATGAAATTACAAAACTTTTAGAAAAAAACAGAATAGAAGTTTTGTGACCTGAGTTAGATAAAAAAAATTCTTTGACATGACACACAAAACACAATACAAAAAATATTTGAACATTATCAAAATTTTAAAAATTGACTCTATAAAAGACACAATTAGGAGAGTGAAAAAACAAGCTACAGACTGAGAAAAGAATTTGCAAACCATATATCCAGCAATGAACATGTATTAAAAATTTACCAAGAAATCTCAAAACTCAGCACTAAGAAGACAAATGATTCATTTGAAAATTAGGCAAAAGACTAGAACAGCAGCCTCCCCAAGAAGAGGTACAGATGTGAAATAAGTTCATGAAAAAGTGTTCAACATCATTATCCAAATGGAAAGTGTAAGTTAAAAAACTAGTCATGAGATACCATGACAAATCTATCAGAATTACAAAAGAAAGAAAGAAGGGGGGGAGGGAGGGAGGGAGGGAGGGAAGGAAGGAAGGAAGGAAGGAAGGAAGGAGAAAGGAAGGAAGGAAGGAAGGAAGGAAGGAAGGAAGGAAGGAAGGGAG